CAAAGCCAAGTGATTAGGGAAGAATGTGGTGTACGCACAAAGGGTCTCCTCCGGATGATTATGGGGTTGAATGCAATTAGACAAGAATGTTATGTCATTATGCAAATCCACTTCTACATGATTTTATCTCAGATTATGGGGGAAAAAACCTGATATTTGACCAAATTTGACTGTAATTGTGCCATTTGAAGAACAAGAATCTTAATTTCCTGAAGCATCTGAGTAAAGTAAGATATAAGACGGTATATCCACTTTGAAAATGAAGCGTTGAAATGTTAAATCTTAAATTGATTTAAACTGAGAGAAAGAGCACAGGAGACACAAAGGGAAAACTGAGTAAAACTGGACATAGAAGAGATTGGAAATGAGGTGATGTCAGTCGGAGAGACAGTTCTTCATGAATTTGATCCAGCTAACGATACAAATAAACCAAAAACAGATTAACATGAATACTGCCTTCTCAAGAGTGTCAAAAGAAGTACTCCTGATCCGAGAAAGTACAAATACTAAGGTTTTAAAATACTCCACTACAAGTAAAAGTCCTGATTTAAAAATTGCAATGATTTGTATTAGAGTAAGCATTTGCATAAAAACAAAGCATTGGGTCGTTAAAAAAAACGCCTGATGCGTAGATGGCCAGACGGGAATTCTGTAAGTTCCCCCAGGCGTGAATCGGGTCGTTTTTGCACAAATTACCCTGTTCTACTTTTCTCAGATGAGAAGGAACGCTTCGGGCTGTAATGAATGACCTCCTGTATGTTGAGCATCATTTACAAACATCCATATTGTAGTCTTGTCTGTTTTAGAATCATGCCACCGACAGCGAGAAGCCAAGAACTGAATCCCACCTCTCAAGAATTAAGAAACTGTTTATACAATCCCTATTTCCCTCTCCTGTAGTGTACTGTGTTCTTTAGGTTTGTGTGCATGTTAATGGTCTGCAAAGGCTAAAATCCCTGTGTTCCCGCTTTTTGAACATTAAAGCATGAAGACATGTCACAGTAGAGACACTAAATACTCATATGATACTGAAAATGAGCTTAAAGGGGACCTATCATGCAAAATGCACTTTGTGATGTCTTTTATACATAAATATGTGTCCCCGGTGCGTCGAACTCATGCAGTGTCAGAAAATAAAACCCTCTCTCTTTTCCTCCGTACCCAAATCTTTTAAAAATGGGTGTACAACGAGCGGATACAGATGCCATCCGATCTGACGTTGAATCGGCAGCGGACCCACAGAAAGTTGCTATCAGAAACAATGCCTCACCTGTTTTGGACTAGAATTCTGATCAGGCATTAGCTCCGCCTCCTCTTATTTATTTTTTTCAAGCTAAGGACCCAAAATCTGCATTTCTCTAACAGGGCTTCAAAAGAGGGGTATGAGCAGTATGAGGCATGGCTACAATGGGGGATCTTGTAGGTATGGCCCTACAATATATTTTTCAAATATAGCATGATAGGTCCACTTTAACATGTCCTCTTTTAATATACTTTTACAGTTTTTGGACTGTGATGTTTGGTTGGAGATTGTGTCACAAATGTCCGCACTGAAAATACTTGAGTTGTTGTTCTATGGTTCAGACATGCAGTTGTGTGTAAAATCTTGTTAAAACGCTTCCATTGAATTGCCTAACTGTAGTGTTGATAATGTAATGCCTTTAACCTTTAATATATTCTCATGTATTTGAGCTTGACAGATCATTTTAATGCTACTGCTCACTGACATGGTTTTATCGACATTGTTATCCAATGTTTTGCTTTTGAAACATCTTCAAATCCACATATTCAATCAGGGATTTCAACGTTATTCTGGCGTTCGGTATGACCTCATCAGAAAGCTAATTCTTCCACCTCTGTATTTCTAACATCCCTGTGAACATCCCTGAACAGGAAGTGTCTCTCAGCGTCAGACTGCAGCGGTTCGGAGCAGAAAGAGTGATTGAGTCTGATGTTTCTCTGCAGACTCCCTCCCTCCTCACCACAGTGGGAGGCGAGGACAATGGCGTACTGTCTGTCTGTGCGGCGCGCATGTTGACGAACCGATGGCGAGAGAAAAAACAGTCGAGGGTGACTAAGCGAATAAACTGCAACTGTAGCTTTTCTATTTAAAGGTCACCTATCATGCTATTTTTAGGCAATAGCATAGGTCTCAGATATATACAAATATATAAAAAACATGTCTATGAAGTGTTTTGCTCAAAATACCAAACAGATCACCCATTCTAGCCATGCCTCATATCCCTCTATTTCACTTCCTGTTTCAAAAGTGCTGATTTTGAGTATAAAGCTTTAAAAAGGAGGGTCTGAGCTCATGCGGGACCCGGCAGCTACTGTCTAAACTAAATACTGCCGTGATGAAACGCCATATCATGGATTATCAAGGATTGTTTCTGAAACAGTATGGAGCTCAAAGGCTTTCTCTCTTGCCGGTTATACCACAAGGTGAGTTCCTTTTTATTTCCTGCTTCTTCACACACATGCTCTCCAGTACAGGTTAGCTCTGAGTGTTAGCGATGCTAATGTAAACACCGACCATATTACGTCCAAAACAGTCGGGCATTGTTTCTGATAACAACTTTCTGATAGGGCCGTGGGTGTAAAGCCAGCCTACATTTCCGATATTACGTCATATCGGACGCAAATCTGGATCAGCTCCGTTGTAGCCCCGTTTTTAGAGATTTGGGTACGGAGGAAAAGAGAGAGGGTTTTATTTTCTGACGCTGCGTGAGTTCCCTGACACACCGGGGACACATATTTATGTAGAAAAGACATCAGAAAGTGCATTTTGCATGATAGGTCCCCTTTAAGCGGCTGCATATATGAAGAAAAAACACATTACTCCAAAAAATTGCAACAAAAGGTTTCTTTACCGTTTTGTGTAGTATTAGGTGTCCCTAATGAACAATTTCTTGCACAATAATATCCTGCATTATGTGTTACTGAAAATATGTATTTCCACATGTAAATATATCTTTTTAAAACTTTTTTGACTTTTTCATGCTATTTTATTTCTATTTCTGAAATATTTTGGACTGTTTATTTCTTGTGTCTTGATTTCTCTAATGTACATTGCCTTGTTTTTTATGCTGCTGCAACGCAAACATTTCCCAAATTGGGATCAATAAAGTATCTATCTATCCATCTATCCATCTATCCATCTATCTATCTATCTATCAAAATCTGACCACTAGAAATGTGTAATTTTCAAGATGGCGTGGAGGAGACGTTTCAACATAATAAAAGCAACTTTTTGCAGAATAAACATGTTTTTGCTTTGCTTTCTGTCCACGCCTGCAGTTGTTTGTTGCACTGACTGTAACTGAGGGGATGAGAGCATGTTGTGTTGAGTCTGACGGTCAACAATGGAGACTGTGTCCTGAAGAAGAAGAAGCTCACTCTGTTCTTCAGTTTTCTTGGATTTGCTTGTTTTCTTCAGAGCATCTCTTCTTGTCTTGCAACAACAAAGAAGCCTCTTATTTTCAAATGTGGATACACATGCTAAGCTAACCTCTAGTTATAAAGATGTAGGATAAACTAAATAATCTGTAATTTCTCCTCTAGTGTTTAAACGTTATGAAACACATTGAGGTATAATCATTTTCTTAAGTCATATAAATTGTTTCATTATAAGGGACCTTATATTGCTCAAGTTCAGGTGTATATCAGTATGTAGTGTCTCTACTTTAAAGAGTCCTCTCCTGCTGATGTTCAGGTGTATATCAGTATGTAGTGTCTCTACTTTAAAGAGTCCTCTCCTGCTGATGTTCAGGTGTGTATCAGTATGTAGTGTCTCTACTTTAAAGAGTCCTCTCCTGCTGATGTTCAGGTGTATATCAGTATGTAGTGTCTCTACTTTAAAGAGTCCTCTCCTGCTGATGTTCAGGTGTATATCAGTATGTAGTGTCTCTACTTTAAAGAGTCCTCTCCTGCTGATGTTCAGGTGTGTATCAGTATGTAGTGTCTCTACTTTAAAGAGTCCTCTCCTGCTGATGTTCAGGTGTATATCAGTATGTAGTGTCTCTACTTTAAAGAGTCCTCTCCTGCTGATGTTCAGGTGTATATCAGTATGTAGTGTCTCTACTTTAAAGAGTCCTCTCCTGCTGATGTTCAGGTGTATATCAGTATGTAGTGTCTCTACTTTAAAGAGTCCTCTCCTGCTGATGTTCAGGTGTATATCAGTATGTAGTGTCTCTACTTTAAAGAGTCCTCTCCTGCTGATGTTCAGGTGTATATCAGTATGTAGTGTCTCTACTTTAAAGAGTCCTCTCCTGCTGATGTTCAGGTGTATATCAGTATGTAGTGTCTCTACTTTAAAGAGTCCTCTCCTGCTGATGTTCAGGTGTATATCAGTATGTAGTGTCTCTACTTTAAAGAGTCCTCTCCTGCTGATGTTCAGGTGTATATCAGTATGTAGTGTCTCTACTTTAAAGAGTCCTCTCCTGCTGATGTTCAGGTGTATATCAGTATGTAGTGTCTCTACTTTAAAGAGTCCTCTCCTGCTGATGTTCAGGTGTATATCAGTATGTAGTGTCTCTACTTTAAAGAGTCCTCTCCTGCTGATGTTCAGGTGTATATCAGTATGTAGTGTCTCTACTTTAAAGAGTCCTCTCCTGCTGATGTTCAGGTGTATATCAGTATGTAGTGTCTCTACTTTAAAGAGTCCTCTCCTGCTGATGTTCAGGTGTATATCAGTATGTAGTGTCTCTACTTTAAAGAGTCCTCTCCTGCTGATGTTCAGGTGTATATCAGTATGTAGTGTCTCTACTTTAAAGAGTCCTCTCCTGCTGATGTTCAGGTGTATATCAGTATGTAGTGTCTCTACTTTAAAGAGTCCTGTCCAATTGGATGTTTAAATTGTACTAAATGCTCTCAACTGTTAATTGTATATCTCATAAGTAAATGTAATACATATATATATATAATATGTCATAAACATGTACCGTCTAATTTCACCACCATTGTTCAGAAACATTTAAAAACATTTTAAAATAGTTCTTTAATTAAAGTGACATTTCTCTTGTGGCTAAAAAAACAAAAACAACAACAACAGTAACACATTGCAAACAGAGCAGAGTTTCACACACAGCATCAACAGCCATCCCACCGACTCACTCACAAGGAAATAAACATTCAATATAATAAAATCACAGCTGCTGATAGTGGACGTTGTTGACGATGAGTTGTTATGCCTACACAACAATTCAAGTGAGTACAACGATATTTTAGGAGTCTGTATTTTCGTCAAAATGTCCCCCGGAGAAAAAACAATGCATCTTGGCACTATTTAAAGGAAGTTCAAACACTGCAAGACCAATTAATTAAGGTTTTTGCAAAAAGAAAATTGCCTTAACAAAGACTTTTAGTGAGTTATTATCATGTCAGCTGAACAGAAACAAGACATTTTCTAAAGGGAAAACTGTGCAGATTCAGTAAGAAATCTGGTGAGTAAAATAAAAAGGAGGTCCTGATACAGCGATTTTCCTTCCTCCAAGACAAAATAGCAACTTTAACAATAACCATACATACGGAGGGTAACATTTCCAGTGAAAAAAGGTATAAAAACTGAATAATTTGTGTTTGAATCCAGCAGTTGTTTAGGGGAAAGTTAACAGCTGCTTGTAAGGTCAACACAATAACCCAGACTAACTAAAATAATCGTTTTTGTTCAAGGAAATTAAATTGAAAAGACAGACGCGTAAAATAAAGTCACTTATCTGGAAGACGTCAAACCACTTTTGTTTGTGATCACGACTTATTCTACTCCATGTCTGCCCTCAGCTTCTGTGAAATACAGTTTGATAAAGAAACAGTGCAGATTCAGTAAGAAATCTGGTGAGTCAAAAAATAAAAAGGAACTAAACAAATAAATGTGATAATAACTAATACTGTCTGTGAGATCTTTTATATATAAACTCTGTAAACAGTGAAGGACGGCTTCAGTCTGTCCGTCAGTAAACTCAAACGTGTCCAACAGTGTTTTAGGAGATCAGGAATTGACAGCCTGATGCGTCAACGCGTCCATCGACAAACTTCTCAGCAGGAGAGAGTCGTGCAGGGATGACGTATTTCTGTAGTGCGACCCTGAAGGCTTTGCAAAGGGACTCCCTTCACAAAAAGCCAATGGATTTAGGATTATTGGGGAAAATAAGCTCTGTGGCAAACAAACGTTTATGATTCTTAGACTTTTATGGAAATTAGGGAAGCACGATATTTGTCAAAGGCTAAATATGGCTTAAAATACAATTTTGAATGAATGACTGTGAAGCTGCAGAGATATCCCGGCGTAATAATTGTATTCTACAGACTTTTTATGTCACTTGTTAGACGCTTTTATCCAAAGTGATGATGATGGTCAATCCTCCTAATATCGTGAATCATACCGCGACTGCAATATCAGTCGAAAATAATCCCACTAAGTTATTTTTCTGTATTTGTCAACGTATTGTATGTCGTAGAATAAAACATGAAAAACTCTTCAGCTTGTGTTTACCACAGAACACATTCAAACAAACCATTGACTTCCAGACGAAGGAATCAGATATACAAACTCAATCCAAGGTTTTTAGGACTCATTTCCTTCCTGCACCACTCAATATGGACCCAGAACTTTCTAACGTATTTTATGCCATAGAATAAAACGTGAAAAACTCTTCAGCTTGTGTTAACCACAGAACACATTTACAACCTTTTAACCCAAAACACCTTCAAACAAACCATTGACTTCTAGATGAAGGAACCACAAATGCAAACTCAATCCAAGGTCTTCAACTCAAGTCGAAATCAAAGTCAGTCGCAGTCAAAGTCTTTTTTAGGACTCATTCCTTTCCTGCACCACTCTATAAGGACCCAGAATCTGTTGACTCCTCCTCCTCAGCAGTGCGTCCCCACGTGGCTGCAGGAGGCGGATGTGGACGGCTCCCCACGAAGCGTCCCAAACGGAGACAACTCCAGTTCGGCGGAGGTGATATCGTTCTCGTTGTCGCTGGTTTCGGTGTCGGAGCGCGACGACGTGCCGCATTCTTCGCAGCAGCAGCAGCAGCAGTCCAGGAAGGCTCTGGTGAACGGCTGGCAGAGCGAGAAGAGCAACACGGGCGTCACCGCAGACTTACAGAACAGCAGCATCTGGCTGACCAGCTGCAGGATGTCCAGTGTCCTGCGAGGGATTCCCGCCGCCATGTACGCCCAGATGATGTTGCAGATGTTCTCCGGGATGATGCAGAAGCCGTAGAGGATGGCCAACGCCACGACCGCGCAGTTCATCTGGCTCTCCAGCTGGATCTGCTTCTGAAGAGGAGATACGATGAGATACGATGAGATGAGATACAATAAGATAAGTCAAGATGGTCAAGATGGTCAAGATAAGTCAAGATAATTCAAGATAAGTCAAGATACTGTTAGTCAAGATAAGATAAGAAATGAATACAATAGAGAAAAGGAAAGAAAATGTCTCTTTTCTTACATTCTTGCTGCCTCGAACACACTCTCTCTCTGCGCGTCGGATCTTGCGTGCGGTGAGCAGCGAGCTGAAGATGGTGAAGAGCGTGGGGAGGCAGAAGTAGCATCCGAAGTACCACCAGAGACGGGCGCCATCATACGTCAGGCCGAGGACGTACAGCGTGTCCGGCAGATCGGTGGAGATCCGAACCACGCAGCGTTCGCACGGCTCTACGTTTGGCGGGTCGCTGTCCTCCGTCACCAGCTGTCGGATCAGAAGCTCGGGCAGCGCCAGCAGCAAGGCGCCGATCCAGATGACGGCCAGTTTGGCGGTGGTGGACGCCCAGTTCTCGATCATCTCGTAGTACATCTGCACGTTGGAGGCGGCGCGGAAACGGTCGATGCATAAAGCGCAGAGAGTGAAGGTCGTGACCCCGAGAGACGCCACCTGGTGGAGAAGAGGAGAGTGAGGTTAGACTTTGTAGGAAAACCTCAAATTCAGGTTCCTGCAACATTAGTCTTAATACAAAGAAGTGTAACAATTGCAGACATTTTAACCCAAGATGGAGACATTAAAGGTCCCCTATTATACTGTTTTTCATCAATATATTATAGGTCTCAGATATATACAGAGCCTGTCTCTGATTGGCTGAAACACCAAACAGATCATTGCAGCATTACCCATAATCCCCTCTGTTTCAGCCCTGTTTCCAAAGTGCTGATTCTCTGTCTGTTACTTAGATGAAAATAAGGAGCCCCTCCCCACGCCCCTCTGAGAGACATTTGGTTAAAAAGAACACAATGGTGCTCTAGGAGGAGATTCAGGTGATAAGGTGGGGGGGGGGTTACCTTGGTTGCTGATTGGCTAATGGTTACACAAGCCAAAACATCGTTATGACATCACAAAGTGGCCAAAATCTGATCAGCTCATTTTCAGACAGGTTTTTATAGAAATGGATCAAAAAGAGAGAGAATCTTTGTTCCTGAAACTTTCAGAGTCTCTTTACACAGAGGGGACACATGGTGATGAAGAAGAGACATGAAGAAGAGGGGACACATGTTGATGTAGAAGAGACATGAAGAAGAGGGGACACATGGTGATGTAGAAGAGACCTGAAGAAGAGGGGACACATGTTGATGTAGAAGAGACATGAAGAAGAGGGGACACATGTTGATGTAGAAGAGACATGAAGAAGAGGGGACACATGTTGATGTAGAAGAGACATGAAGAAGAGGGGACACATGTTGATGTAGAAGATACATGAAGAAGAGGGGACACATGGTGATGAAGAAGAGACATGAAGAAGAGGGGACACATGTTGATGTAGAAGAGACATGAAGAAGAGGGGACACATGTTGATGTAGAAGATACATGAAGAAGAGGGGACACATGGTGATGAAGAAGAGACATGAAGAAGAGGGGACACATGTTGATGTAGAAGAGACATGAAGAAGAGGGGACACATGTTGATGTAGAAGAGACATGAAGAAGAGGGGACACATGTTGATGTAGAAGAGACATGAAGAAGAGGGGACACATGTTGATGTAGAAGAGACATGAAGAAGAGGGGACACATGTTGATGTAGAAGAGACATGAAGAAGAGGGGGACACATGTTGATGAAGAAGAGACATGAAGAAGAGGGGACACATGTTGATGTAGAAGAGACATGAAGAAGAGGGGACACATGTTGATGTAGAAGAGACATGAAGAAGAGGGGACACATGTTGATGTAGAAGAGACATGAAGAAGAGGGGACACATGTTGATGAAGAAGAGACATGAAGAAGAGGGGACACATGTTGATGTAGAAGAGACATGAAGAAGAGGGGACACATGTTGATGTAGAAGAGACATGAAGAAGAGGGGACACATGTTGATGTAGAAGAGACATGAAGAAGAGGGGACACATGTTGATGTAGAAGAGACATGAAGAAGAGGGGACACATGTTGATGTAGAAGACATGAAGAGAGGGGACACATGGTGATGAAGAAGAGACATGAAGAAGAGGGGACACATGTTGATGTAGAAGAGACATGAAGAAGAGGGGACACATGTTGATGTAGAAGAGACATGAAGAAGAGGGGACACATGCTGATGTAGAAGAGACATGAAGAAGAGGGGACACATGGTGATGTAGAAGAGACATGAAGAAGAGGGGACACATGTTGATGTAGAAGAGACATGAAGAAGAGGGGACACATGTTGATGTAGAAGAGACATGAAGAAGAGGGGACACATGTTGATGTAGAAGAGACATGAAGAAGAGGGGACACATGTTGATGTAGAAGATACATGAAGAAAAGGGGGACACATGGTGATGAAGAAGAGACATGAAGAAGAGGGGACACATGTTGATGTAGAAGAGACATGAAGAAGAGGGGACACATGTTGATGTAGAAGATACATGAAGAAGAGGGGACACATGGTGATGAAGAAGAGACATGAAGAAGAGGGGACACATGTTGATGTAGAAGAGACATGAAGAAGAGGGGACACATGTTGATGTAGAAGAGACATGAAGAAGAGGGGACACATGTTGATGTAGAAGAGACATGAAGAAGAGGGGACACATGTTGATGTAGAAGAGACATGAAGAAGAGGGGACACATGTTGATGTAGAAGAGACATGAAGAAGAGGGGACACATGTTGATGAAGAAGAGACATGAAGAAGAGGGGACACATGTTGATGTAGAAGAGACATGAAGAAGAGGGGACACATGTTGATGTAGAAGAGACATGAAGAAGAGGGGACACATGTTGATGTAGAAGAGACATGAAGAAGAGGGGACACATGTTGATGAAGAAGAGACATGAAGAAGAGGGGACACATGTTGATGTAGAAGAGACATGAAGAAGAGGGGACACATGTTGATGTAGAAGAGACATGAAGAAGAGGGGACACATGTTGATGTAGAAGAGACATGAAGAAGAGGGGACACATGTTGATGTAGAAGAGACATGAAGAAGAGGGGACACATGTTGAAGAAGAGGGGACACATGTTGATGTAGAAGAGACATGAAGAAGAGGGGACACATGTTGATGTAGAAGAGACATGAAGAAGAGGGGACACATGTTGATGTAGAAGAGACATGAAGAAGAGGGGACACATGTTGATGTAGAAGATACATGAAGAAGAGGGGACACATGGTGATGAAGAAGAGACATGAAGAAGAGGGGACACATGTTGATGTAGAAGAGACATGAAGAAGAGGGGACACATGTTGATGTAGAAGAGACATGAAGAAGAGGGGGACACATGTTGATGTAGAAGATACATGAAGAAGAGGGGACACATGGTGATGAAGAAGAGACATGAAGAAGAGGGGACACATGTTGATGTAGAAGAGACATGAAGAAGAGGGGACACATGTTGATGTAGAAGAGACATGAAGAAGAGGGGACACATGTTGATGTAGAAGAGACATGAAGAAGAGGGGACACATGTTGATGAAGAAGAGACATGAAGAAGAGGGGACACATGTTGATGTAGAAGAGACATGAAGAAGAGGGGACACATGTTGATGTAGAAGAGACATGAAGAAGAGGGGACACATGTTGATGTAGAAGAAACATGAAGAAGAGAGGACACATGTTGATGTAGAAGAGACATGAAGAAGAGGGGACACATGTTGATGAAGAAGAGACATGAAGAAGAGGGGACACATGTTGATGTAGAAGAGACATGAAGAAGAGGGGACACATGTTGATGTAGAAGAGACATGAAGAAGAGGGGACACATGTTGATGTAGAAGAGACATGAAGAAGAGGGGACACATGTTGATGTAGAAGAGACATGAAGAAGAGGGGACACATGTTGAAGAAGAGGGGACACATGTTGATGTAGAAGAGACATGAAGAAGAGAGGACACATGTTGATGAAGAAGAGATATGAAGAAGAGGGGACACATGTTGATGTAGAAGAGACATGGAGAAGAGGGGACACATGTTGATGTAGAAGAGACATGGAGAAGAGGGGACACATGTTGATGTAGAAGAGACATGAAGAAGAGGGGACACATGTTGATGAAGAAGAGATATGAAGAAGAGGGGACACATGTTGATGTAGAAGAGACATGAAGAAGAGAGGACACATGTTGATGAAGAAGAGATATGAAGAAGAGGGGACACATGTTGATGTAGAAGAGACATGAAGAAGAGGGGACACATGTTGAAGAAGAGGGGACACATGTTGATGTAGAAGAGACATGGAGAAGAGGGGACACATGTTGATGTAGAAGAGACATGAAGAAGAGGGGACACATGTTGATGTAGAAGAGACATGAAGAAGAGGGGACACATGTTGATGTAGAAGAGACATGAAGAAGAGGGGACACATGTTGATGAAGAAGAGATATGAAGAAGAGGGGACACATGTTGATGTAGAAGAGACATGAAGAAGAGGGGACACATGTTGATGTAGAAGAGACATGAAGAAGAGGGGACACATGTTGATGTAGAAGAGACATGAAGAAGAGGGGACACATGTTGATGTAGAAGAGACATGAAGAAGAGGGGACACATGTTGATGTAGAAGAGACATGAAGAAGAGGGGACACATGTTGATGTAGAAGAGAGATGAAGAAGAGGGGACACATGTTGGTGAAGAAGAGACATGAAGAAGAGGGGACACATGTTGATGTAGAAGAGAGATGAAGAAGAGGGGACACATGTTGATGTAGAAGAGACATGAAGAAGAGGGGACACATGTTGATGTAGAAGAGACATGAAGAAGAGGGGACACATGTTGATGTAGAAGAGACATGAAGAAGAGGGGACACATGTTGATGTAGAAGAGACATGAAGAAGAGGATTTTCCATAACAGGTGACCTTTAATAATGAGAAGTGCAACATAAAAAATATATATATACATATTGACCATATGAAAATGTAGACCTAAGATGGAGATGTCAAGAATATTTTGGAGAACAAAAATTCAAAAACATTTGAGTTTTAAGTTTGAATTTTCTAAAGAGTTGTGTTTGGACTTTAAACGTTGCTCTAAATCCTGTTCTAATTAACATATTATAAATATTATTTTATATTTGCCAATCATAACATTCAACTGCTCTCAACTGTTTACTTATAGGAGGTTAGAAATATGTCTTAAAAATTACAAATGTATTCCTGTGAAATGTTTCCATGACTTGAAAACTAATTTTCAAATCAAATTCAGACTTTATTATAAAACACATGAATCTTTATTCCCCCTCAAACTATTTCACCAAGCTTTCACGATCAGAAGATACTGTAAATGACTTTATTTGACCTCACTGTGATACTGGAGCACGAAGGAGACTAAAAACTGAGCTGAGTCTGTAAACGTGTTAATGCTGCTTCACAGAGCAGCTGGTGTGTCTGCAGCAAACAGTTCACTGTGTGTGTGTGTGTGTGTGTGTGTGTGTGTGTGTGTGTGTGTGTGTGTGTGTGTGTGTGTGTGTGCGT